TGAGAAGTATGATCATATACCTCTAATCATGAGAAGTATGATCATATACCTCTAATCATGAGAAGTATGATCATACACCTCTAATCATGAGAAGTATGATCATATACCTCTAATCATGAGAAGTATGATCATATACCTCTAATCATGAGAAGTATGATCATATACCTCTAATCATGAGAAGTATGATCATATACCTCTAATCATGAGAAGTATGATCATATACCTCTAATCATGAGAAGTATGATCATATACCTCTAATCATGAGAAGTATGATCATATACCTCTAATCATGAGAAGTATGATCATACACCTCTAATAATGAGAAGTATGATCATATACCTCTAATCATGAGAAGTATGATCATACACCTCTAATCATGAGAAGTATGATCATATACCTCTAATCATGAGAAGTATGATCATATACCTCTAATCATGAGAAGTATGATCATATACCTCTAATCATGAGAAGTATGATCATACACCTCTAATCATGAGAAGTATGATCATATACCTCTAATCATGAGAAGTATGATCATATACCTCTAATCATGAGAAGTATGATCATATACCTCTAATCATGAGAAGTATGATCATATACCTCTAATCATGAGAAGTATGATCATATACCTCTAATCATGAGAAGTATGATCATACACCTCTAATAATGAGAAGTATGATCATATACCTCTAATCATGAGAAGTATGATCATACACCTCTAATCATGAGAAGTATGATCATATACCTCTAATCATGAGAAGTATGATCATATACCTCTAATCATGAGAAGTATGATCATACACCTCTAATCATGAGAAGTATGATCATATACCTCTAATCATGAGAAGTATGATCATATACCTCTAATCATGAGAAGTATGATCATATACCTCTAATCATGAGAAGTATGATCATATACCTCTAATCATGAGAAGTATGATCATATACCTCTAATAATGAGAAGTATGATCATATACCTCTAATCATGAGAAGTATGATCATATACCTCTAATCATGAGAAGTATGATCATATACCTCTAATCATGAGAAGTGTGATCATATACCTCTAATCATGAGAAGTATGATCATACACCTCTAATCATGAGAAGTATGATCATATACCTCTAATCATGAGAAGTGTGATCATATACCTCTAATCATGAGAAGTATGATCATATACCTCTAATCATGAGAAGTATGATCATATACCTCTAATCATGAGAAGTATGATCATATACCTCTAATCATGAGAAGTATGATCATATACCTCTAATCATGAGAAGTATGATCATATACCTCTAATCATGATCATATACCTCTAATAATGTCCCAGTCGAGTGTGTTGCTCAGAGTTCTGCCTCTGCACAGGGAGAAGATCGGCTCAGATCTGCTCATCCAGACCGCCAGGAACCCAGACTGTCCCAAGGTACGGCTCAAGATCCTGCTGTGTGTGTGTGTGTGTGTGTGTGTGTGTGTGTGTGTGTGTGTGTGTGTGTGTGTGTGTGTGTGTGTGTGTGTGTGTGTGTGTGTGTGTGTGTGTGTGTGTGTGTGTGTGTGTGTGTGTGTGTGTGTGTGTGTGTGTGTGTGTGTGTGTGTGTGTGTGTGTGTGTGTGTGTGTGAGTGTGTGTGTGTGTGTGTGTGTGTGTGTGTGTGTGTGTGTGTGTGAGAGTCTCGGTGCACAGCTGCTGTGTGCAGGGAAAAGCTATGCCCCAGAGCCATAGAGAGAAAGAGTTGCGACACTCATAGACCGCCACAGGAAACTCTGGAATGCGGAAGTAACGCGTGTCGTGGAGCGGCCGATAGTTCCAAACACTGATAGTTTCTCCATTGAACCCCATTCATTTTCAGTACTTCAGAAGTACGTTCGCTGGTAAATTAATGAAATTACTGTATTTTTTTACTTTTACACACATTAGCCGACCTCTCGTGAATCTAGTCTGTAGTTATATTTAATGTAGCCAGTTTTAGTAAATGTTTATTGGAAGATAATGGGTTAATTGCAGCGATAGCTTACGTGACCAACACTTCACTAACGTTAGCTAACTTACGGTAACTGATGTATATAATATATAATATTTTTAATAATATTTTAAATGTATATATATATATATATAACCTATATATATATAACCTATATATATAACCTATATATAATATTATATACACACACACACACAATTCATTTATTTAAATGGGTTAGGGAGGGTTATGCATGTGCTTATATGTATTTAGGAACATAGTTAATTCACTCATTAACTATCTCTCCGGTTTAATTTTATGAAGAATATTTTTCAGTTGAATATTTACCGAACATTGCTGTATATAGTCGTTGCTTTCTACGTTATGGGAGCAGTCTATTTCCCTCCTAAATCATTCATTTGTACATGCACAGCGTAATTATTTATATTTTATGTTGGTTGGAGTTCTGAACGGACGGCAGACCTCTGCGTGATCACAAAGGCTAACGGGATCACGGGCATCAATAGCCTAATACAGCCCA